TTGATTTCGCTAAACTCATTATGTTAACTCTGGGTTATCTGTGTGTCTTTTCCTTATTCGTAACCCTTGCCTGATTCATTGCCTTGACAAATATTTAATTTAATAAGCGATATTTCCAATACATCACTCGTAATGTTATCAATAATTAACAATGTTAAGAGACTAATTATGGATAATTAAAATTATTTTGTAAATATGTCTTTCCTTTTCTCAATTTTGTTAGCAAGGATAAAAATTCTAATTCGTAAGCTAGCTGTCTGAGTACTATATAGGTAGTATATAATACAGTGTGTATGTATGCAAACGTTTGCCATTACCACTCGTCAGCATTATCCCGAAATGTCTGACAAACATAATGTCGGTACTTTGTACAACTTAATGAATGCCTCATATATATATATATATATATAGATTTAATAAAAGCAGGTGGTTCGCGACAAAGCTAAGTTACACAGTTTCTTTTTATTAAATGCTATTAACATGTTATAGAACACCTGCAGCATGAACACAAAGCCAGCGTAGAAACAAACTGTCATGATGAGAAGACATTTCTGTGCGAGTTTGTTTTCATCAATATCAAAGAGAATAATTTTGTCCCCGAGCGAAGCCCGGGGCGAGGGTACTAATTCCGCTCGGCTACCAATTCCGCTATTTACACCCGTGAAACCTTATGTCGCTGCAGTAGTTACATCCAGCGGTGTTGATGGAAACATGTTTGTACTTGGTAAGAACAGAAATACAGCTGTGATTATTCTAATGGTCCGTTGGAGCCTGCACTAGTTATAGTATTTTTCAAAGGATTATCATCAATGAAAAGGTATACCTGTTAGAAGAGGAACAAAACTAAGTCCTCCACATATTTCGGCCAACGCATTATGAAGTCACCTGTTTACCCCTTACTAAACAGATCAATAAATTATCGACTTTTTTACTGTAGGGTGATTACCGTAAACCTCCGACTATAAGCCCTGGGCTTATATTCTTTCGTAAGCGATTTTTGATGGGCTTATACAAGGTGGGGTTTATATACGGGGGGGCTTATACATGGACGATCTTTTGTGTTAGTGTAATAGTGATAAACAAGTTAGTATAGTAATAGCGATAAACAAGTATTAAACAAGCATAGTAATAATAGTGATTAGTATTTTTGCACAAGTGAACATAACAAATCCTACAAGTTGATTGGTCAAATTTGACGTATTAAGCTGTTATATTCACCTACAGGTCAATAACAAAACCGAAATTTTCAAAATGGCGGCTAGCCGTTTTGTGGACGTTATACTGATAAAGAAATAAGCGAAATTAAAATAAATTCAGTCCCAAAAAAACACAAAAATACTAAAACAATTATTCGCCTTAGGCTCGGTGATTATCTGGGTTTAGTATAAATTTTGCATATCAAATGAGCTTTCGCGCGTTCTGATTGGCTCGACTTCGTCTCGGCGAATATTCCCCGATAATCACCTCGCCTTCGGCGAATAATAGTGTTATAGTGATAAACAATAGTGATAAACAAGTGGGCTTATATTTGGGTGGGCTTATATTTGGGGGGGGGGGCTTATGTTTGGAATGAGGTGAGCGTTAGTACATGTGGTGGGCTTATATTCGGGGGGAGGGGCTTATATTCGGAGGTTTACGATATGACTCCACAGACTGGATCCTTCGTCAAGAACGTGTGAAGATACTGGTATATATCTTCGATTTAATTTCATATTGATTATTGGGTTAAACAGTATACGAATTATGCAAAGTAAACTCAGTTTGGTCATGATAAATTCCAAAATTGTAAGGGAAAACATAATGGAATATTCAGTTTAGACATTTTTTCGCGATCGCTAGTTTGTCTATGAATTAAGTTAAACCACAAGAGTATAGCGAACGAAATCCATTTGTGAATTGCCTAATACATAGTGTTCACGTTTTTGGATAAATTATTAATTCAGTGATTAATTGTGTCAAAGTATTTGTGTTTAATTATATGTTTTGTTGGTAATTGTAATCGTTAACTGATTGTTAGCTGATATTAAACTTGATGTATTATAATGGATCCGCAGTAACTATGGCCGTAGCTGTTGCGGTTTCCAAGCCTGCATGTTGAGGCAAAGTGTAATAAATTATTCTTACTTGAGGCTCTTTTCGGGGCAGGGGCGAAACTAGCCCTTTTAAATAGGGGGTGCAGTGGCGCCGTGGCCGGGTGGCCAAGGGCGGCCATGCCACCCCACCCCCTGTTGTTGAGACCCGTCGGAAAATTTGAAATTTGTTATGTTGTCGAAATTTTCGCGTGCTCAAGCATACCTGCATATACGAGCGGGAATTTTACTTCTCTTCATTGTTTGACGATGCGAAAGATGTTTGAATAAAAAATATATAAATGAAATATCGGACTCAGTTTATGTTTTCCCAATATAAGTTTATAGAAAAGTCAGTATTTAATTCAATATGATTTCATATGAATTTTTTTCTGTGTTGGTGTAGTGTACTCAGGTGAATATGATATTTGTGGTGTTACTCTGAGTGTATATCCACACCGGGCGAGCTTGAAAAATATGCCCGGCCACGGTGGGATTCGAACCTACGACCTTTGGAATACTAG